GGAGGGCATCTTGGAGGAGGTGATGCCTGAACTGAGAAGGTGCCAGCGCAGGAGCTGTTGGAGCTGTTCACTGCTGCAGCCCACATCAGGACAGGGCCCAGGTCAGAGGGCAGGTGCTTGATACATACTTGTTAAGTGAATACACGAGTTAAGGAAAAGCTGCTAAAACATGGACCCAAGTCTCCAGGGGTCCCAACCAGACTCTGGCTTTTCAGTGGGGCCATTCTCACTGGACTGAGCTGAGGCACAGGGCCAGGATACCAGCTGGGCCAACAGGAGGGCTCAGTAGAGTCTGCAGCTCCAAGTCCAGCAGAAAACCGTGGTCAGAGTGTTGGGCCTCATCCTGTCAAGTTTCCCTAGCTGTGAAATGAGGTTGGCACCACCACAGCCCCTCAAAATAGCTTCAGATGATGTGGCGCTTTGGAAAATGGAGTCCAGTGCAAGCACACGGGACCGGAATGCTCCAGATGTCCTCGTGCGCGCCCAGAGCCTCCTCCTACAAACCCAATACCTATGGGCTTTAGACAAGCTGCTTTGTCTCACAAAGCTGACCTTGCTCTGCTGCTCAGCATGGGAAAAGATGCCACGTCAGCTGCATCCTATCTGCCCGCCTGTGCTTTCCTGGATACACTTACTATGTACAGGCCTGTGCTAGGAACTGCAGACACAGAGATGAAAGATGGGGCCCCTGCCCTTGGGAAAGTCCCAGTGCACCAGGGACAGTCAGGTGAGCAAAGAGAGGGTCACCACATCCTGCGGGGTGAGCCTCTGGGCTGACCGCACAGCAGGGAGGCCGGGCTTCCTGAAGGAGGGACCCCTCCTCCAGCACGAAGACAGAAACCACAGCCCTCAGTGGGACGGAATAAACGTGCCCATTCTGGGGTTTTCCTATATTGTTTCGTTTTCCTCTCACAATTCTGCGAGCTTATCTCCATCTCACAGACGGGGCCAGAGGCTCTGTCACTTGTCAAGGTCACGGAGCCTGGGGACAGCGCTGACCTGGGGCATTCGGGGGTCCACACCCCAGGCACACTACCACGCCGAGGAGGCAAGGAGAGTGGGGAGGGGGTACTGCAGGCGGAGGTGAGCGCCTGCTGCCTTTAGGGTCCCGGGGCCAAGGGGTAATGGTGGCACTGAGGCTGACACGGAGGGCCAGCTGGGCTGTGGCTGCCTTGTGAAGATGCTGATGTAGGCAAATCTTAGTAAGTCTGAAAGGGAAAATGTACCCGGGCTCTCGGTAGGGGTCGTCTCCCTGCCCCAAGTCACCCATGAGGAACACATTCAGCAAGGGGATCCTGTCTCCTGGGGCCAGGGGACCGTGGCTGAAGGTGCCTGCTGCTCAGGGCAACTGATTATCCAGCTGGGCCCAATGTAATCACATGAGTCCTTAAAAACAGAAGAGGCAGGAGGAATAGAGAGATACAATAGAAGAGTCAGCCAGAGGGATTCGAAAACATGGACAGCTGGCAGGGACCTGGGAACCTCAGTCCTACAACCCCATGGAACTGAACTCTGCCAAGCTTGGTGAACTTAGAAGGAGGTTCACACCCAAGCCTCCAGAAGGGAATGGTTTCAGCCTTGTGAGACGAAAGCAAAGAACCAGCTGAGCCACCCTATGCCCAGACTTCTGACTCACAAAAATGATGAGATAATACACGAGCATTGTTTTAAGCTGCTATGTTTATGGCAAGTTGTTACAGCTCCAGTTGGAAACTGATAAAGAATACATGATGGCCCAGGCCTGGGAGGGGACAGCACAGGGCCTGCTATGCTGGCCATGAGAGGACTGGACCTGGCTCTGAGCTCTTGATCTGGGGCAGGAGTGTCCCCGAAGTGTGTAGCATCAAATTAATTCACTCGCTCACTCAACCAACGTTTCTTAGGCACTCGTTATGACAAAAGTGCTGGCTGGGGGCCTGGAACTCAAGTCTCATGAGGAGGAAGATGGCCAAACAGACTCAACCCAGTGAAAGGAGTCGCCTAGGAGCAAAGCCTTTGATGTGACAGGAGGTTAGAGAAGGGTCCCCAGACCACCTGGGGTCAAGGTTTCCCTGGGCCTGAAGCCCCATCCGGGATCTTGCTCAGGAGAAAGACAGGCCTGCACGGGGGACTACAGCACGTACCCACACGCCCTCTGTAAATGAACGCACGTACACTGTGGTTAGTGTCCTGGCCTTAGAGGCAGCTGGGTCGTCAGCAGCTGGCACAGAGCAAACAATCCGTGTTAGCTTTAAAGGCAAATATAAAGACAAGGGCAGGTTCCTGAGAGACTGACCACATCAGAAAAAGGTCAAAGGAGGGGTGTCCAACGTACAGAACTGAGGGTCCAGGCCTGTGGGCCCAGAAAGTCGGCTGAGAGGGCAGACAGCAGCCCTCTACCTGTGGCTTTGGCACAAACCTGGAAGCAGGTTCTGACTTCCCTCAGGCAGCACGGTCACACCACAGTGTGACAGGCCATCTCAAGAGCCCCTTTCCAGAATGAAAATCAGGCACTTGTCCTAACTGAGGAGCTCTAGAGATGGGAAAACACAAGCCAAACTCCATCTTTGCCACAAAGCTGGCGGCAAAGGCCCTGAGGTCATCTGGCTACAGGGAGGAGACTGAGGACTTCTGACTCCAGAAGGTCCTGGCTCTGCCACTGCCTCCCTGCAGAGCTGCCAGCAGGCCCCTCCTCAGGCTTCCCCTTCCCCAGTGTGGTAATAGTAATAGCTCACATTTCTTTAAATGCAAAGTGTTTTCCATGTATTGATTCATCTAGACCTCAAGTAGTCCATTTCATAGTTGGACTGATATAGGGGTTTTGAATTTTAAATTTTGCTTTAGCTGACAAAGCCCTCCTTGAAAGGAAAAAGCAAAAGAAAAACCAATATGCAAAACAGACAGATTAGAGAAACTCTGGATGAAAAGAAGGGGTTGAGGGTGCACAGTTAGAGCCCCACTTTGCTATCTCCCCACAATGAATCCAAGGGATTCCAAACAAATAAAGGGCCCTGAAGACACATGTATGAGATCAGTGTTCAGGGCTAACTTTGAGGACTGGCGGAGCTCACTCAGCTGGAAGTCCCTTCCCCAAGCACCACTCAGCTGTCCCCAGCTGAGGTGGGAGCGGTGAAGTTGTGGGGTATCTTTGAGCACTGAGACTCTCCACCCTACACCATGCTCCATGAACACCCTGTCGCTGCTGACCTGGGGAAAGCCAGCTCCTGAGTCTGGACTGCGG